AATAAAAAAATTATTTTAAAAATTAATTAACGACGAATTTTTCAAATTATGTCCCATTTTCAGTTTTGTTCTTTCAATAAAAGTGACCGAAAAAGTGAAAAACATAAAATTAATCGATTAGATTTAAATTCTTAAATTAAATAGTATTAAAAGCATAAATATTATTTATTACCATTCAATACATTTTAAGATATACCAAAAGTCATTTAAATCTACTATCATCTGTAATCATGCGGTAAGTAATGAATTTTTCAATCAATAAGATTTCCTTTTTCATTGCCAAATCTAATATTGATGACTAATTTATTTCATTTTATTTCGTAATATTTCAGATATTCTCATTTTATCATTATTACTTTTGTATTGATCTCAATTACGCGCTGTGAGGAAAAGAAAGTTGAAGATGTTGATAAAATAATATACCAAAATATCGAAACTATCCTTAAAACTGATTATCCGAATGACTCATCCAAGGTTGACTGTTTGTTAGGGGAACTCAAAAAGCAGAAAACTGCTGATAAAGTTTACACGGAAGCAATGCTCCTTGACAAGAGTAATAAAGAGTTGAAAGAGAAAATTGAACCTTATGTAGTAGAAGCTGAGAAGATCTGTAAACAGAAAAATGCTGGTTCAATCTTCCACACTTCAATCTCCATGCTCATCCTTTGCGCAATTGCTGGGTTTATAAGAGCATAAATCATGAAGTATAAGTGTTAAAAGTCTACCTCAATACCTGCACATTGTCTTTCCAGATCAAACTTAATGAAAAATCTCATGAGAATGAAATATTTTCACTCAAAGCGCTTGACATTTCACAATTTATTTTGCAATTGTTAAATTAAATTTGAACTCTGTAAATGTATAACAAAAGCAAGATTCAATAAAGTCTTGATGAAATTTTATTTCCATGTTTGATTTTAATGATACCTACTTTAAAAATATTAAATTTCTTTGCAGTTCATTTACCTAAATCAGAAACAAAATATTTACTTTCTGGTTTGTATTTTTTTTAATCATTATTAATTCACAAATAGAAGTGTTGATGTACATAAATATTAAATGTGAACATGTCACACGAACTAGGCTATAGGGACGACAAACACATTTTCTTTACAGAAATTAGTTCAATGTCAAGTCAACACCGTTTTCCTTTCTCCGCCATAAATTATGTGGAATCGTAATTACATGTTGTATGTCACGATTTATAAAAAACTGTCGAGAATTTCAAAGCAAAATTGAACTTTAGTTGCATTCAATACTCGTTAAAGATAAAGTCAGTTTAGAAATTCAAATGAACGGAAACAATTCAATAGAATGAATATTTATAACGTCATAACAATGTTTTTCATTGTAATCTGTTCTAGTCTAGGTGAGTTGACCAATGAAGTTTTTTCAACTGTGGCCAAATATTTGCATCGCAATGGAATCAGAACCGTTGAGACTGTTTATTGCATGTTGGATAAAATGAGAGTTGACAAAAAGCTCGATGATATTTATGACAAAATATTCCATGAAGAAAGAGATGATGTGAGGGATGAGGTCGATAAATATTTGCGAGAACTCGAACTTCAATGTGGTCAAAGCTATTCGTCAACTCCACTCGGAATCGCAACATTTTTTTCATTCTTTTCAATTGTGTTATTAGGAATGGGTTTTTGTATGATGACATGTAGGTAATAAATAAAAATTATATTATATGAAACATTAAACACACCTTATTCAAATAAAAATGACCTAATTATTTTGATAAATTGTCATAATTTATTTTCTTGAATAGTTGGGGGAAAATAAGGAAGAATAGATGTAGTTTCATATTCAATGTTGGTTCAAAAGCTTTCTTCACGAAACTGGTCGAAAAAGCTCCAGGCTGAAGCACAAGCTACTTAAAGTAATTTTAAGGATGAATCGATATTATGAAAATGTTTCTTCTTTATGCAATGAACCTAAAACATTTTTTACAGGTGAACTACTCAAAAGAAAAACAAGCCATTCAAGAAGAAACGATGATCATTAACTTCAATTGAATAATAATTTTTTTTTGTTTTCCATCCACTATTTCTCACATCTTAATTAAGATATTTCGTAAATAAAATATAAAAATGTTCCGATACAAATTGGACACCAGATCCAAAGTAATTTATTTTCTAAACACTTCAAGCAGAACGTTTTGATTTTATGCCAAAAGCTTAATGTTCAATTAAATCAATACTCAATCAAAGGCACTTCAATCATAAGCGCTTTCATCCACACTCGCTGCCGAAAATCTCTCGCAAAGCACCCAATTTAAGTGTCATTAACTTCAAGTGACATGTGAAGTGCAGACTGTCAAGAGCCACTTTCATACTTCGAGTTGGTGTTACTTAATTAGAATTACTGGTAAATTAAGTACTTCAATTTCGATGGAGACAAATTAATTTTTGATTTGTGATTCATCAAACAATAATGTTCAGAATGCTGTTAAAGCACCCTCTTCTCATTTAATTTTAGACAATAATTCACAATCACTCATAAACATATTTTATCAGCATTCACATGTTTATTGCTTGTTAAATGTCGAACATACTACAATCAATTGCTTTTGGCAGTTTAATTGATGTTTATTCAATAAAAAAAATTGTTTTATTCTTATCAAAGTTGTTGGCATCACGACGGATCAGTTTTACATCATCATTCACTGTTTATGATAAGATAAGAGAATTGAATTATAGAAAATATTCTTGTGATCCAAATAGTTTAAAGCTGTATTAATAACGAAGAAGCGATTTTTCTGATGCTTAATAAATGCGTTTATCCATTTCTATATTTGCTGCTATCACAATGAACGATACTTCCACAAGGTAGTTGATAAGAAGCGATTGATAATACATAAAACTGGTATCATAAATTTGCTTTTGTATAATTGATAATAATGCGATATCGAACCTCAAGTGGAGCTTGTGAATCAAGCAAACTAAAGCTTGACAGTCATTCTTAACAATTTTAAGTGTTTGGATGGTTTTTGATGATTAACAGAGAGTAAATTAAGTATTTTACTTGGAGAGAATCTTCAGAAGCTTAAACTTAAGTGCATAATAAAATTTTAAAAGTATTCAAAGGTATTAACGATAACAATGTGCACAAATCAAGTTGAAAATTTGAGTGGTCAAGTAGATTTCGTGAATGTTGATGAATGTTATGAGCCTGGATTTCAAATGATTCCACCATATGGTGATTACGATTATAAAGAGTAAGTTTTAAGTCACAAATAATTTCAGAATTGTAAGCACAAAGCTCCAGTTTATTGTTTGCAAATCGATATCAATTTCCTCAGTCATTGCATAAAACAAATAGAAGAAAAATATCTAACACTTGCGTTGTTTGTTGATAACAAGTGAAACTTTATATATTTTTCGACCCGTAAATGTGACTAAATAAACAAGTTTGCAATAATGAAGGAAAATTTTTCCTGCTCTACTCACCTGTTGATATGAATTATTTCATGCAATAAAATGAAATAAATAATTGGCTATTCTCTGGTTGCGATCAATGTCAGGTTCGTTTACCTTTGAAATGACACGCTAAAGAACGAACGAATTCCTTGAAGATCTCGTGAAACAACAACTACCTAGCAATCAAATTGAAACTCGAGAACATTTTCCGCCAATGGTTTACATCTGTTGAATTTCCCATAGCCATAAAAACAAGCAAACATTAAAAAAACAAATAAAAAATTATATTTTAAGTAATTATTAATTGAGCTGATGAGTGGCTTGATACACATTTAGGAGTTGGCTCCTGACACTGAGTGGCACAACCTGAGGAATGTTTTTATGGACATATGATGTTCAATCACATGAGTGATTGCTTTATTCAAACGTTCACGATTTAAGTGACATCCTTCATGTCGTTTGATTAACATTTTAAAAATTGAGACATCAAAAAAAAAGACAGTTACCTTCTAAGTTTGTTTTCTTTTTCTTTCATAATGCCAGCATGAATTCTTGTGTCATAATTTACCAAACAACAAAAAAATTCTTTCGGAAACGCTCCACTTGAAGTGAACTGCTAAAATTCCCACAATTCTCAATCGTTAAAATCCAATTTGTTTATGTTGTTAAAAAAATGTAAAGAACCATCGAAAAGAAGCTCATCATGATAACTATTATGATTGTTTTTCATGCTAAAGTTCTTATCCGTAGTTTATGCAGTTTTCACATGCAAACTAGACGAAACTTTTCTGTGTTGACTGATGAAGGAAATTCAAATTATGTGAAACAAGAGAAATTCTAACAAACTATAAATGTGGAAATAATCTGAAGAACAAAAATTTTTATTAATGATAAGCTCCACCCACGACTCTGATTGGTTCTCTCAAGCTTTTTTTATTTCCTTAGGAAAATTTTCTTTAATATTTCTGTGAAATAGGTATTTCTTAGTTTTATAAAACATTTCATGAGATTCACAAGCTTTAACATTAAATTTTACAATTTTTAAATAATTAAAAGTGAGAAAATAACAAAATAATTATAAAAGCGAAAAACCACAAAAATGGATACAAAAAAGCTTCAAAAAGCTTTGGATGAAAAGCTTTTGATGAATTTAAATTTATCTTTATTTCCTTTGAGATGGAATTCAAATTTTCTTATGGCACAACTTCTTTATCATATGAAACAACCAAAGTAAAAATTTATTTTTATGAAATTAAATCTTAACATAACTTTTGTGTGAACAGCTAAATAACAAAGAGTTTGATTACAGAATCGATAAAAATCCACATCGCCCATCAAGCTTCCATATCAGTGATATCCTTCAACTAAACAATCAACCACCATCAGATGTTAAGCCACGATCTCCTATGGATTATTCTCCTTACAGTTACAATGAGTACACATCCCGACAACCTTATTACTCATCTTATCATCCACAAATTCTTCCATCAACTTTGTCAACATTTGAAAGTGATCTTCCTTTTTACAGTACAACTTTTGGAGCTGCACCATCGTACAATGGAAATATTTATTTAACAGCAGATCCACCAATGGGCACAAGTTCCTATCCATCAAGTCAAGTCGTCTCAACATCTTTATCAAATCGCTTTATTATGAATGACCCCAATAATAATAGTTTTGGTATGAATATAGATGAACATGACGTTAATAATTTAATTAATTTTTATTCATATTTAAGTTCCTTATTATGATCCACAAACAACACCAATTCAACATAATCCAACAAGTAATGATTCTACAAATCATAGTTCTATGGTGATGACAAGTGATCCTACATACATTACACTCCCTGTTAAAAATTCCCCATTTCAAGATGAAACAGTTCAATTGTTGAATTCAGCTGAAAGCATGAAAACTGAAGCAAGATACACAACTTTAACCAGTGTAGAATCAACTGCTTCGTCTCAAAGCATTTCTAATGCAATACCCAATCAAGTCATTGAAGATGATCAACTTAATGATACATTGAGTGTCGACGAAAGTATTGGAAGTTTAACTGACGTTCAAGATATTCGTGAATCAACTGACGGAATTCCACTTCGTGCGACGCAAAACTCAACAGAGAAGAAAAGAAAGCGAAGAGTTTTGTTCACAAAGAATCAAACATTTGAGCTTGAACGTCGTTTTCGACAGCAACGATATTTATCAGCTCCCGAACGTGAATATCTTGCGAATGATATTGGATTATCTCCAACACAAGTGAAAATCTGGTTTCAAAACCATCGCTACAAAACAAAAAGAACTACTAGTGAAAAACTTCCATTATCGCCTAATTCATATCAACAACAATCTTCCGGATTGCCATCACCAAGTCCAATCAAAAGAGTGCATGTTTTGGTACGAGATGGAAAACCAGTGACAAATCCTTTGTATAATAATGATAATCCATCAAACTTTAGTAACCCTTCTCACAATCAAAAATGGTGGCAAAGAAATTAAATTAATTCGTTAATAATTCATAATAAAGTTGCAAAAGCTTAAATGAAGATTTTTGTTATATTTAATTAGGTAAGGTTGACCCGAAATATTTGTTGTCACGTAACGGATTTAAGAAGTTTGAATCAATAATTCCTAACCAGCCGAACGAACCAGCTGATAATCAACGAGAGCTTCTATGAAATGATGATCTAGATTCTAAAAAATTAGATAACAGACTAATAAAAATACAAAAAATATTTAAAACAGCAATCGCGCGTCTTTTGCAAAACTTCAAAATTTTACCCAGTTTATCATGTCGGCTCAATAAAATATTGCAAGTTAATTACAAATTGAGTAGATATCAACAACTGTTAACTAACTACAAAGTAACATTAACTCTTATCTCATTTTCTGACCAATTTTCATGTTTATAATTTTAACATTTGAGTATTCCTACGTCACTGCATGATAAGTCACATTTATTACATCCAGATGTGTTACATATTTTGCTTCTTCGAAAAGTCGTCGAACTTCAAATCAATATTTAATTTGTAAAAAAAACTTGATAAATCGCTAGACATCGATTTCTGTTTTCTTATCAGTAAGAATTTTTTTCTTGCTGCACCATAAAGATTCGTGACTAAGTAATTTTTATGAAGAATTATCAGTTTAACGACGCGTTTAAAAGCACATAAGGGACTATCTGAGTTTGATAAGAATCTATCGTAAAAAGAGAATAAAAAGTGTGAACATTTTCTCGAGATTGGATTAGTAATTCTCAAGACTTCAAGAAGAGATAACTTCAGTTGCAATGAAAGCTGTTGGATTAATAATTCTGCTGCTATGCAGATCGTCATTTCAGGTAAATGCTGCAACTCATTGTGAAATATACTCAAACAAAATATCTTAGGCATCTACACCATCATCTCCAACTTATGAAGCGGGTGTAGTAGAATTTAATTTTCTATGGGATCCCGAGGCTGACATAATTGAAACAACAGCTTCAAATCTTGCGCGATATTTAAAAATTATGGAAGAAGCACCATCTACACTTGACATCATTGTCTTCCCTGAAATGACACTGAATAGAATCCAAAGTGCAGTTGAAATTTCTGATCCCAGTGAAAAGATATCGCCTTGCGATAGTGACAGTTACGATGCAGAAAATCTTGTGAAAAAAATTTCATGTGCAGCTAAAACTGCACAACGTTATGTGGTTGTTGATATTGTCACAAAAATTAAATGTCCAGACGCTGAAATGATTGAATCAGGTGATCCACGTAACTGTAATGATCGTGACGATGGTTTCAGTTATTACAACACAAATGTTGTCTTTGATCGGAATGGGACAATAATCGCGCGATATCGAAAGTTCAATTTGTTCGGTGAAGAAGTTGATACGCCTTATAAGGCAGAAATTGTGACGTTTGAAACAGATTTCGGTGTGAAGTTTGGAACTTTTATCTGCTTTGATCTCATGTTTAGATGGCCTGCTTTGGAAATGGTTAGAAATGTAGAAAATAATTATGAAGGTGTGACAGACGTCATTTTCACAACAATGTGGTTCTCTGAACTTCCCTTTTTAACTGCTGTTCAAGTTCAACAAAATTGGGCTTATCAAAACGATGTTAACATGTTAGCAGCAGGTGCAAACAATCCTGCAGTTGGATCAACCGGAACTGGAATCTTTGCAGGTCGGAAAGGATCTTTGGTATCAGTAATGGAAGGAACAACTAAAACAAATCTTTACACTGCAACAGTTCCAAAGAAAGTTTTAGGTGATTCAATCGTCGTTGAACACAACTCAACAAAACGCTCGAAGGAAGAAATGGCAACTCTTAAACTGAAGAGAGATCAATTGGATGCATATGAAATTGAATTTTGTAAGTTAAATTATGAATGAAATTAATGAAAAGTTTAATTCAATGTTGAATATTTATTAGTGCCACCTGGAGATGCTGAAGGAACGACAACAATTGAAAGACGACGATGTTTGAATGAAAACTGCTTAAACGTCACAATTGTCTATCGATATGAAAATATTTTAAATGCTCCAAGTTATGAGTACGCATTGGCATTCTATCATGGAAAACGAACATTCGATGGATTTGCTGATGGAGGTGTTGTGGCTTTTGTTATTCTGGCATGTCCAACAAAAGAAATTGCAACATGTGGCGTAAGAAATGAAACTTTAGAAATGCATCATGTGTGGGATAAAATTGAATTTTCTGGCACGCTGCCATATGACGATGGTCAATATTTCTACCTTCCAACCACTTTGGACACTTCCATCATGCCATTGAATCCCAACACATTTGAATACAACGAAAAAAGGAATTTTCCTAATCCGTGAGTAAAATTCGATGAATACAATTCTGCAATTAATAAATCTTATCAACAGCGATGACATAACAAAAGGAAATGTTGAAGTCACAATGAAAATGAATGGAAACATCGAAGGATTCTTAACATTTGGAATCTATGGAAGAGACTTCAATTTAGATAATGATGCAACTGCTATGAAAGCTTCGTTGCTGTTAATTCTTTCTTCTTTTGTTTTTCTGTATCGATTTCTCATCTAACGAAAGAAATTTAAAGAAATTTAATTTCAATTAATAAAATTTTTATTTTTCTTGGAATTATTGTCATAAAAATAATTTCTTAAGATATTTCGTAAGTCAAATATCTCTTTAAAACGCGTCAAAAATCGGTGTTGGTGCTGGAACAACTCGCTTATCTTCATGTCTATGTAAAAGCTTAAATAATCCTGTGCCAATCGATGCAGGCATTCCTAAGATAATTCGTTCCGAAACTCCATCAATTGAATCAGTTTGTCCATAGTAAGCAGCATCGAATAAGTGATCAGCAGTTTTCTCAAACTAAACAAAAAAGAAAATTTAATTTCATGTTAATAGATCAAATAAAATAAAAATTTACCGATGCTAAATTAAAAACAGATTCACGCATTTTTGCTAAACCATGTCGCGTAATCCCAAGAACTTCTCCGCGACTTGTCATTTGACTAGCAAGTAACATAATGTGGCGATGATCAACACTCATGCCGTGCCCTTCCATCACAGATGTTATCTCGTACATGATTGTCGTTCTTGCTGCTTCAATGCCGAGCGTATTGTAAACTTCCCAAATGTTGTTACTTTTCGTTTGTTTACCAATAACTCCATAAGTTGACATAACATTTCTCAATCCAGCGCCTTCAACACACAACTTGTAAGTTGGTGGACTGCGAGCTTCATCAATCGCTATAACAGCACGTGACACATTCGGAATTCCAGCAATGACAACTTTTGGCACTAACGTCGTTAATCTTTGAAGCTCAACATTCATCATGTTGCCATATTTTTGACGATCAGGTTCAATCACAATCATCGACGATCCATGAATCTCAACTTGATTTGGCTTTAATCGAAGCTTTGATGTGCACAATGAATAACGAATTGTATCAATATTCACTTCCAATCCAAGCACACGAATGCGATCCAAGTCAAGTTTAATTAACAGGAAACATTCGTCATTTCGATAAACTTCTTCCAGGAATGATGTAACCTCTCCAAGCGTTGTCTTCTCAATTCTTGCTTTAACTTTTCTTGCAAACTCCATTGAAGTGTTGTCTTCAATTTCAGCTGTGATAATTGGCGTTGATATTGATTTTGTTGCATTGATAATCTCAACAATACGTGGAACTCCTTGTGTGATGTTCATCGACGCAACACCAGCAAAATGGAAGGTTTTCAATGTCATTTGTGTCCCCGGTTCACCAATTGATTGCGCTGCTAAAGCTCCAACAGCTGTTCCCGGTTCTGTTATTGCTCGATTGTATTTTTGATTAACTTCTTTCAAGAATTCTTCAACATGCCCCGGCGTTATTCTTTCGATTTCTTCATTTATTTTTCCAAATCTTTGATACTTCTTCTGACTTTTATCGATTCTTTTCGAAACTTTATCAAAATAATTTAAACATTCATTTTTAAAGTCGCTTCGACTGTTTTCATATTCAACTTGTGATAAAATTTCTTCAGCTAATCGTCGTATTGATGAAGCTTCGATTTTCTTCTCATTCCGATGTGGATTTGCTTGTATATGCATTAATTGTCGATCCATATCAACGGGACGGTCCTTAACTTCCATAAACACTGGATCCAAGCCATCCCCCCCGTAAATAAACTCAACAACTTCACCAATTGCATTTCTCACTGTCCCATCATATTGAACGACAAGATCTTCAAGACACTTCACTAAACGACGTTGGAGATAACCCGTCTCAGCTGTCTTAACTGCTGTGTCAACTAAACCTTCACGACCAGCCATCGTGTGGAAGAAAAATTCAGTCGGCGTCAATCCAGAATAAAAAGAATTCTGAACAAAACCACGAGCTGCTGGATGTTTTGAAAACTTCTCAAAATGTGGCAATGCGCGATCTTCAAATCCATTTGGAACTCTTTTACCGTTAATAGCTTGTTGACCGACACAAGCAATCATTTGAGAAATATTGATGTTTGATCCTTTCGAGCCTGATTGTGCCATGATCAGTGCGCTGTTTGTTGGATGAAGTTCACGGAAGCAAGCTTTAGCTGCTAATTCACGAATGCCTGACAACTCTTTCAACATCACTGATTCGAGTGTTTGTTCCGGTGTGCAACCTGGTGAACATTGCAAAGTTCCCTTCTTCATCTCCATGATGTAAGCGTCGCATTTCTCATACCCAGTGTCAAGAAGTTTCTGTTTTTCTTCAAGAAGCTTTCGACTTGGCGTCACATCACTGATGCCAAATGAGAATCCGCGATTCATCATGAAGTACGACGCCATTCTTGCCAATCTCCACATTGATTTTGTTGCAAACTTTTCACCGAAATCACGTAAAATCACATAAAAAATACAACTTTTAGTTCCCGATCCTAATGTACTCTTGTCCATTGATCCACACAAAAGTTGGGAATTTCTGATAATGACATAAGAATCACGAATACATAAATCTTGATTTGTTGTATAATTTTTTCCTTTTGTTGCAAGATTTGCATTCACTGGACATTTGCTATTTGGTTTCATGATTAAACTGAAGATTTGCTTTCCTGTCCACAAGCGACGTGGCTTGAGAATTGCTGGCGGTGGAAGTTCAATGTCCATACATGCATCTGGTCCTGACAACATGCAAGTTGCCAACTGCATTGCTTTCTCTTTCGTCAGGAATTCATCACGTTGTGTCAGTAAATAACCGCCAGTAATAAAATCTTGCGTTGCCGCAATGAGAAGTTCACCATTTCTCGGTGTTACAAGATTCGATTGATTCCCCATCAAAACTAGAGCTTCAGCTCGTGCTTCTTCGGTTTGCGGTAAATGTAAATTCATTTCATCGCCATCAAAATCAGCATTGTAAGGTGTGCAAACACATTCATTAAATCGAAATGTTCTTTGCGGTTGAACCTTCGCTGTGTGGCACATAATACTGAGTTTATGTAAACTCGGTTGTCGATTGAACAAAACAATGTCGCCGTCCACCAAATGTCGCTCAACGATGTCGCCGAGTTTTAAATCTTGAGCGACTTTATCACGGTTCCCATAAGCGAGATATTTCTTAAAGTTCCCACCTTTTTGCTGAACATAATTTGCTCCAGGATGAACTTCAGTTCCATTTTTTATCATTTGACGTAACTTTTTTATGTTTGCTGTGTTGACACGTTCAGGAAATGTGAGAATTTTTGCAACACGATCAGGAACGCCAACTTGATGAATCATGAGATTGGGATCAGGTGAAATGACAGTACGAGCAGAGAAATCAACACGTTTGCCTGATAAATTTCCCCGAAATCTTCCTTGTTTACCTTTCAACCGTTGAACAATTCCTCGTGTTGCTTTCTTCGGCATCATGTTGAGTGGAACCCCCGAAACTTCACTGTTGAAATATAAAGCGCAATGAAGTTGAAGAAAATCCCAATCTTCTTGAATTAGTTCAATTTTTCCCCCTGAAGTCATATGCTTTGCAATCACATCGTTAATAAGAAGAATTTCACTTTGTTTCATCGTCAAATCGTCTTCAGTTCTGTTGAAGTTTTCAAAGAATTAATTAGGATAAAAGAATTTTAATTTTGTTTTCAACTTACGTTCCAGATTTGATTTCTGACACCACTGATGGTCGGATGCAAGCTGGAGGAACATAAACTCTCGTCACAATTAAGTTACATGGATCGGAATCAATTGCTGTCATCCCCAATAAAGGAATGTCACGTTTTGGGATGTTCTTAAATAAACTCAACACTTGAATAGGATTCAGTTCTTGAATAAGCGATGGTGGTCCCACTGCTTGATACATTTCTTTGTTGCCTTCTGAAGCAGCTAATAATTCTTCAAGAGCGTTGGTCACAAGTGGATCAGTTTTCTTTTTTCCTCTCAATGGTTCGTGAACAATTTTCATCAAACCGGCTCCTTTCTTTACTGCACCATTTGTAGATTGACAGTGAGGACATTTTGTATTTTTCTTAGCTTTCTTTAAAACCTGAAGAGGTAAAATAACAAATTAAAAATAAAATCAACTTTAATATAAAATTTTTAAATCTTTACTTGTTGGTGAATTGATTTCTTTGCTAGATAAGATAAATTTGGATTCATCAGTCGTTTACTGAACATTTTTGCATCTTCTGGCTTTAGCATAACTCGTGAACAATATTTACAGATTGTTTGAAGGATTGTCACAGTTGCTCGAAAGTGACCAACATGAAACACCGGAAGAGCAAGATCCAGATAACCGAAATGACCAACACATTCGTTTAATCCTTGATTACACGTTTCACATTTTGTGCCTTTTTGACTGACACCCATTCGACGATCCAGAACTCCATGTTGAACAGGAGTTCTAGTTGGTGCGTCTTGATCTTGATTATAAAGGCTTTTTTGTTTCACTTGTAAATGACTCGTCTGTTGAATTTCCTGTGCAGAGTCAATGCAAAACGACACATGTGATATCTTTTTTATTACGTCAGCTTCACGAAATTGTTCTTTGGGCATCTTATCCCACTGTAAATATTTAATAAAACTGAAAATTAATTTCACCGCGTGCCAACAAGCGAAGTAAACAAACAGTGAAGAGCTTGTGAGAAGACGCTGAAGAGGGCGCTTTGGAAGCTTCAAAAAGTGCGGGAGAAACTGAAAACATGAACTTTTGAATTTTTCATAAACTTCTGATTTCTTTTGAACGAATACTGATATCAACTTTTTTATGATTCTAAGATTAAAATTTATCAAACTAAAAATAATTTAGGGCGAGATGACTCAGTCATTTATTCCGCTATCAACATTTTCTGATAGCTAATTAATAGTTAATTGGACAAAGTTTAAACACAACAGATTAAATGATAACAAATTAATTACCATCATAAATCATACCAATTTGTTTTCTATTCAATGTCGATTTTCAATTTCAACCTATCTGTACATGAAAGTGAAAAAAGCTGAAAATAATACATTATTTATGAGAATTCATGTTTATTGATTCTGATTGTTGCTGAAATAAAAAGAAGGAATAAAAACTTCATATATTGACACAAGTTTTTTGTTGTTTTATTGTATAGCGTTGTTCCTATATCTAATCATAATAATTTGTGACACTACTTATTTACAGTTCTATTTGTTTCTAAAAATATAATTATTTAAGCCAGTGACAACTGAAAACTAATTGCATATGTTCATCTTTGTATGCGACTTAAGTTTCGTGATATCAAAATTATGTTAGATTTTCCAGAATTATACAAAATAAAAGAGTAAAATAATGCACGAACCCTTTTTGCATCAAAGAAATGATTCAAACAATGTGTGTCCGGCTTTTGAAAGGAAACTTTTGATTTCAACAACGATGTCCATTCATCTTCTTTATTCAAACAGGTTTTCATTTCAATGCACTTAACAACTAATAGTTTGAAATAGATAATTAAAAATATCACCCAATTTTAATTTGTAGTTTATTTCTTTTTTTTAATTTTTCTCCTGATTTGGTTTTGATTCCCGGGGAAAACTAAATTTGATTTTGAGATATTCTATTTTAATTTTTCCAATGGGAATTTTCTTTCAGTTCCGTTTATTTTTATTTTTATTTGCTTCAACAGTGAATAAAATATTCGTTATTGAGAGCAAGGATTATGTCACAAGATATCTTTGAAGCTCTGAGCAGGACGACAGATAGTTTAAGCGAAAAACTTATCACTGATGTGTCTAACATGTGAAGCATCTGTACATCAACAATAAAAAGCTCAAGAAATGCCTTCATCGACATTAATAATATCGTGACACTCAATTCCTTTTATTCCCTCCATCAATTAATTCCAACTTCGAGTTCTATCACACCGAATATTTAATTCTTTTCAGTTGTTGAATAAAATCTAAACATTTATTAGGTTTACACAGCGATGCGTTCTTTCATTTGCAACTTTAAGCAGGTGAAAGTAAAAAGGTTACAACAATGAAGAAAAAATTTCAATTTTTCTTCTTTTTCAATTAGAAAAATATTTCTTAATGCTTCTTCTTAACGAATTCATTTTACTTCTTTCTTCAATTTTTTTTTTTGTGTTTTAAATAGTTTATTTTATTTCCTTCAGTGTGAATCACACTTACTTATAGTCAATTATTTACAAAATCAAATACAATGCTTTGCGGTCGAATGGCAAATGATTTAGTACGAAAACTTAAAAAAAAACAATCAAATCAAATGTTGCATGCAAATTTTCTCTATAAATAAACAATTCGATTAATTTCAGTTTCTAATTTTGTTACACAAATTAACGAATTAAAAACACTCACCATTCAACCGAGCTTTTTATTTATTTATTTGATTTAATAAATTAGATACTATCTCCATTTGTATCAACAAAAGTTTTTCATTTTTTTCAGTTTTTTTTTGTTTAGCTGGTTAATTGAAAAACATTTCCTACTTTAATGTGTTTGTGAATGTTTTATTCTATGTATGGATACATAGGTGTATATGTGTCGTTACTATTTACATCACTTATTTACTTAACTTTTTTATGTTTTCATTATAAAATAAACGGGCAATTAAAGCATGGATTCAGACTCATCATTCACTCAAAAAAGCGGTGTTTGTTGTTTGTTCAGTTTTGACTTTTGCCAACATCATTTGCAACACTCGTTGGACTTCCGCTTCCATTGTGATTGACCAGAAGCATTGGCTTGACAGATGTTGCGCTTAAATATTGAGGCGCATTTGTTTGCATCATCTAACAATTTTTTTTAAGAATTTCGAAAAATTAATTATTAGATATTTAGTTATCTACATTTAATCTCTTTTTTATGATCAACTCACTTTTCCTGACAGTTGTGCAGATGATGTAATGATGTTGATACCTTGAGATTGAGTTACAACAATTGTAGGAGTTGATTGCATCATATGAACTCTGCTACTGTTGTTAGTATCTAATATTGATTGATTACAAATGATAATTACTTATGATATCTCCGTACATTAAATGCAGTGATTCTCAACCATTTTTGTCTAGGTTTACGACAACATCACATTATAAATAGAATTAAAATCCTTAACTACGACACAATCATGTTGAGAGTCACTGATTAAATGATATCCATTCAAGTATAAATTGTCACCTTTCATAATCGCAAGCTTTCCCTGGTTTCTATATACGGCACCGTTTGGCGTTGTATTTGAAGGTAGAAGATTCAACTCTGCACCTCCTGGAGCGAGTCGACTTCCATTGGTTCCATGTTGTGCAATTGTCGGAATGCTGATTGTACTGATATTACCTGAAGATGTTGACGTCACACCATTTCCATTCATGAGAAGCTTTTGCAGGTTTCCAGGCTGTGTGTGTGTCAAATGATGGGATCGTTGTTGCTGATGATGTTGAAGTGTTGTGTTCGGATGACCATTGACTGTTTAATTGTTGAACAAAATTATTTTAAATTAGAAATAAATTAAGAAAATATTAAAATATTTACTGTTTGGTCCACTAAGTTCTATTGTTGTAACACCATTTGGTTGTCCAATCACTTTAAAGCCTTGTGATGCAACAAGTTGTATTGGACTAACAACTAATCCCCCACCACCAACAACCTTTTCATTTAAATAGATCAAAAATTATAAATTAAAATAAACCGAGAATGAATTGAATAAATTTTATTCGTCATCACCTGTTGCAGTGTCAGCTGATTGGAATGTTGAATCATTTTGTTATCGGGAGCAAGAATTGCACTTCCATTAATGAGCTTAATAAGTTTTTTTGGTGGCTCATGTTGATCAATTTTCATGTTGGACGTTGTTGATGTGACTTGAGGTTGTGTCATGCAATTTGATGACATTGACATACTTGTGATGACTGGTGATGATGATTTGTTGGTTTTTGATTCTTTACTGCTAGGATTAGTGGAAGAAAGAGAAATTAAGTAAAATAAAAAAACTAAAATTTAACTTTTCTCACTTGTTGTACCCTTTGAGACCATTTTTCAAACCATTTAAAGGCTGAATATTTGTAACTGATGAAACAGCAGCATGAAGATTCAATGGCATCGTTTGACATGATGATGGAATCTCTCCAGCTTTTAAATTGAGTGCTGTAGGCATTTGACTTCCACTTCCAGGTGTTGCAATCGGCATAAGTGTCGGTTTTGTTTGGATGTTCGTCGTCGGCAATTTGATTGGATTAATGGAGAGTTTTGATGATAAATTTTCATCATTTGTTGACTTTGATGTAAGCGAAAGTGGCATGATTTGATTTCCTGTGCTCAACATTGTGATCCGAGATGGTGATCCAGGCATTGATGACGTGCCCATCAGGTTTGATGATAAATTCGTTGACTGAAATCAAATCAACAAATCAAAAAAAAGATTCTTGTGTCAATCAAAAAAATTGAATTTTCTTAATTTTTATCTTTTTACATTTGTCAGACTGGCTACTGGTGAGGTTCTAGCTGTATTTGGAAGCGAACTTGAAGTGTTGTATAAAACTCCATTCTTCCCATCGTTCGATGTTTCTAAATGAACAATACAAAAAGAAATTCTTCACATAAATGTTTCAACTAAAAGTTCTTGTGAATTCTCACCGTTCCTTTCCGATTTCACGGCAGTGACGTCCGTTTGCTCGGGTAAAAGTTTTGTAAAATCAATGTCCCTTTGTGTTAATTCACGTTTAAGGAATATAATACGATTTTGATTTGAGATTTTCTCTTTTGCAAGTCGCTCCATCTCATGCTCGTATTCACGTTCTTTTCTTTTAACAAACTAAAATGAAACTTAAGTTGAAGACTAATTGATGCAATCTTAATGAAAAGTTAATTACTTGAATATGTCGAATGGCAGCTCCAAGAATTGACAAGTTTGACGTCTTTTTCTCATCAGGTGTTATTGGTAACTGTTTCTTAAGTGCTTCAAAACATTCCTTCAAATGTGCCCTTCGATTCTTTTCAAGTTTATTGTGAACTTCACGAGTTCCTGCTCGTACTGTTGAGGGACTTCGAAGTGTGCTGCTGTTAGTTATTAAATATGAAAATAATAAAGTTTTCTTTCCAACAAACTTTTCTATTCACGAAAACTTACCTGTTGCTATTTGAACTGATTGTTCGTCTTCGACCACTCGACACTGATGGTGGCATAGGCAAAGCACTAAATGTTGACTGTATGGGTGTTGATAACTTTTGATCTAGCAGTGGAGAGCTTTTTTCGCTCTCAACGTCTTCGCCATTCACCCCACTTTGGTTCAAGCTTAAATTTCCAAGACTCGACGTTGTACTGTTGCTTACGTAGCCACTTGACTCCGTGCTTAAATTCAAGCTTGTTGGTGACTCATCGATGTTGTAAATTGTGACACTGTTACCCGATCCATTCGAAAGAGTCGACGGAATTGTTGAATTTTTCGATAAATCGATTGTTACTTGTTGGGGAGTGAAGTGAGCGGGTGGACGAGATATGACGACGAGTGATGGTGACGGTGATGATTCCGACTTTGGTTTAGTTTCTTCTAAAAGAATTAAAAAAAAAAGATGTCAGAAAAACGAACCTTCGTCGGTTTCTTCGTGAATGTTCTCAAATAAACATTTATTATTCACATGGAAAAGAAATTCAAACTTTGAAGTCTGAACATCTATTTGGATAAGTATTCTGATGATTATTCATATATCATGTAACAGGTGTCGACTTTCCACATTATTTTTAAGAGAAATCATAAATCAAAGGATATTTCTACACTTTTTGGTTACATTTTATATGAAATTCATTAAAATATAAATTAGAAAATGATGACATGACAACGTCGTATTTGTTAATCTTTTTTTCCATTGCAGTTAAGAAGTATTTGCATAATTAATTACTGAGATTTTACGCAGTCTTGCCTTTTCTTTTCACTTCGCTATCTAAAAATTGTAATCAAAAAAATGCATGTTGGAAACAAAAGAGAGAGAATTATGAGAATCATTCGATGGAGAAGAAAGAAAAACACAAACAAATCGCAAAAGAAGAATCACATGCCAGGCTGCTCAAACCAGCCGTTATGAAAACAGCTTTTTCACCGATTTTATTTTACTCTTCTCGTTTTTGTTTTCTTGATTCAAATAAAAGAAAGAAAATAAAAAAAGAAAAAATTCAGATCGTCAGACATACGAGAAGAGGGAAGTGAAGTGTACATGGATGAGGGAGAGAAAGCAACCATAAACTGCATTCTTTCGTTCATCTTTCCATCTTCTTTTCCATTCTTCTCCCTTTGAATTTCTCGCTCTCGACGTCAATGCTAGTTGCACCCTTAGAAATGTCAAATTGGACAAATTGTGACGCTTCCCTCTCAATTGACGTTTCCCTTTTCTTTCTTTAGAAAGAAAAGTAAGGAAATGAAAAAGGATTTTCCATACGGTCAAAGTGCCATTGAACAAGAAGCATCATCAGTTTTTGCACAATCTTTTTGAATGGGCTGACGATGATTTTATTGAATGTGTGAGTGAGTGTGCGCAGTATTTGAATGTGTGAGTGAAGGAAACTACTACGAAATATTTAAAAACCGGATGATAAACGTTCGCACACATACGTTTGCTGGAAAAACCATTCAAGAGAACAAATTGTAACTGAACGTTTCTCTTTATTTTTTTAAGTAATAAACACCAAGGGGCAATTCATCGTAGTGTTTTTATCGGCTGCCACTAAATGATGCATCGGAAAGCACTAGTAGTGCTTTTTAATAAAAATGGCAATTTTCCAAGAATTTGTTTAGTTTTTCTTGGAATTTGCTTTGTGCTTTTTTTTCGCAATGGTGCTTTTGCGGGGCAACTTTTTCGATGAATTCCCCCTGGTAATAAACACATGCGCAAGAATTTCTCTCACGTTTTCTCTCTCTCTTTTGTTACGTATTCTCCCGAACACCAGCAGGCGATATCTACTTCTTATTATTGTTTGTTATTCAATTAAAAACGAACAAAAATATCAGCTTATAAAGGGAAAATATAAGCGAGTCGCTGTTGTAAGCAGGCACGATATATGTTGATGAATATGTAGCAATAACAAGAATTTCAACAATAACGAAAGACAGAAAGAAGAAAATGTTTATACGAAGCTTAGCCAGAATTTTCATGCTCAAACATGCTTTCGCTCTTTCCACACTTCGATCCTACCCAGTAAAAGGAAAATATTAAATACACGTGAATTACTGGCATGCGGACTGAATCGTCAGAAAAGAAAATAATCGTTGAACACTCCGATTATTACAACCTTCCCTTGAACAATATATAATTAATGCAATCCTCTTCTGTTCATTACAAGAAAAGCTTTGTGATTGTTTTTTAAATTTCAAATGAAATTTTAATGACGCACATATATTACAAAGTTTGTTTCGATTCAATTGATTAAATGCATTGCAGTTGCCTGAAAGCTCAATGAGACAATCAAATGAAAAGCATACGTTGAGAAAGAAAAACATGTTACACAACATTCAAGTACAACAATCTCCATAATCTTCTGTAATAAAAACAATGGAGAAAATACGAAGCAAAAAAGTTTGAGTAGAAAGGAAAAATAACAATACGATTCATAAATAAAGTCGTTGGATAGAGGAAAGAAGAAGAAAGGTCCCCGCGCACAGCACAACACCGATGTGTGTAACGATGGCAAGAAACAACGTGATACATTATGTAAAAGCGTTTGCTCTAATAGAACATCAGAAGGAAATGTTAATCGAATTATTACCTCGCAAAAGTACTAAAGAAGAATTTTTTCCCTCGATATTCAAATGAATAAATGGATATAATGCATAAATTCTAATGCCACATGCTTACAGAATAAAAAGATTTGATCAGCAGTGGGTGGAATGTAAATGAATTGATAAGAAAAATTGCTTTACGGTAGTGATTGAAGATGCTTAATGATGTTTAGATACATTAATGTTTACCGGTTATATAATTACGAATCCATTTCTTCTTAGGCGTAGCGAAAACATCTGACGTGAGTTCAACTGATGACGAAGTTTCTTCATGATGAAAACATCCATTGACCTTGCAATTCTCTTCGCGAAAGCTTGTTTTGAAATCAAGCTTTTTGTTTCGATCTTGAAATTTGATGCTCGTTTTTGTTCTTTCTTCGTATTTAATTGTTCCGTTTGGCGTTAAAGAGTTTTGAGAATTTATTTGTGGTTGATTATAATAGTGATGATAGCTTGTTGTATCATAATTGAGTTTGCCGTATCTTGAGATATCTTCCTGAAGGAAGTCGTGCTGTTGGAAATAATTCTGATCCCTCGCTTTAAAGCTACTTGTTGGATTAACGCAAAGAGATCTCGTTGTATAATCAACGTTGTTATAAAATATGCTTGGATAAGGACTAACATTGGCAGTTGTTTGTAATTCAATCAGTTGTCTTGTCGGAGCATAAGAATTTAATATCGGAATGTTGTTGGAGAGTTGAGTGTTGCAATTGAAATTATTTTCTTGCTTCAAATATGGCATCCAAGAATCTGTCAAATGACAATTATTCATACACTCGCATATTCCATTATCTTTCGGTATCGTCGTTCGATAAGGGTTACACTGATAATGAGCAGATGCACTTCCAAGCGTGCTTGCTGATGTATTTTCAAAATCGTAAAAATTCATTTCTGATCGTGTCGATGACTCATGGCGACGACTGTTGAAGAACTGCTCAAAATTCGACTCGTTCATTTCAGGATAAGCATCAAATATGTTTTCGTGTGTTTATGAATATTGCACAAAGTTCTTTGTTAATACTTTTTTGGCTTCGGAACGATGAAAGTTCACAGCACTAAAGATATTTAAGATTGATTTTTTTTTGTTAGAAAGAAGAATGCAAGAACGTTTACAAAGACATTTTTTTCTTCTTCATAAACTCCTAAAAGTTTAAGCTTTTTATTAATCATAGAAATGATGATGTAAAGAATAATAATCGAGATTATTATAAAATGAAATAAATAGAAAAGTACTTTTGAGAAATATTTTCAATATATTTGCAATCACAGTGCGATTATTTTTATAGATATGAATTTTATCTTCTTATTGATTTCTATTTTGGTAATGACTCTCACTACTCGTAAATATCATAATAGAATTATAGGAAATAGAGAATGGACAGTAAAAGTTGAGAAAGAAATGAAAGATATTTCAATGTTGAGCAATATCACAAGAAAAACTGTTAAGAGTTTGAAAAAAGATTCAATTCTTGCAAATTTATTTTTATTTTTTTATCCTTACTAACCAATCTTGCTTCCTTGACGAGTCAATCAAATATGTTCAACTGACGAAATTCGTCATCGTCACTATAATGATTACAACTCATCACAAAATTTGGACAGTTTTTATCACAAAATGAACAGCTTTGGTATGAAATTTACTTAGCAGATAATTAATTTAAACATTAAAATTGAACACCAAAGATATCAGTAAAATATGAATGACAATTTCACAAAACCGGTCTTAACTCCGCAGATTCCCAACGAGCACTGATCAACGTCCTTTTCTCGTTGTTATTTTTGCCCATCTCCACAGAAACTTGGTATCCAACCGTTCTTGCACATTCGGAAAACGATACTGAATAACTCACAAGCTCCATTTACGTGTACCTTACAGTTCTGCCTTATAAAACGTTGAAAGCATTTCATTTGAATCTCAATTAATTGTTTTCTTTAAAATTTCAAATCATACGTCAGAATGTAAAGTAATTGCTGGAAATGAAGTGATGGACATCACAGATATGTGACTGAAGTCAGGCTTATTATATGTTTTTCTCGCAGAGATAGGCCAAGGGACTACCGTCTTGTTGAAAATGATGATTAAAACAGCAAATTGCGCACTTAACCAGGGACATATTCAAATTTTTCTGTTTATCCCTTTAGGTATTTATTTATAATTTAAAATTATCACTCCCTAGCTCCGCACTCTCGCTAAATGATATAAAATTTCATCACCTTATCGATCCATGCATAATCGATAGCAATACGAAAGCCAATTGATCTAAATTACAAATCATCTAAAGTCTTGATTATCATTTGTCACAAGTTCGTTTAAACTTTGTCATTTCTTTCGATATTGAAACGAATTTTGAGATTCTCAGCTTTTCATCGTCCAATGAAATTTTAAAATAGAATATCGATGCAATGGCGATGGATTAAAATTTCAAATTGATAAAATGTGAATGATTCCTTTATGTAACACTCGTTCCAGGTAAGGTTTGTGTGAATAAATATTTTAATTTCAAGTAAACAATATAATGATTCGGATCTGATTCAATCTCGTGCTGACAAATAAATACTTTCGACCATCACATAAATATATTTACTTCGGTAAAGTTCACTGTCTTACAAAAAAAAACAATTCGTCTGTTTCTTTAATAATGTATGATTTTATAATTTCCATCATTCAATTCACCAGCCTTGCCATTGATAACGTTTAAAGCTAATTAATAAATACGGCAATGTACTCCAGTACTACTTGGACGCGTTAGATAAGCGATTATCAATGAAATCATTGACTGAATATTGGTGTCTAAATCTTTTCTTTTTCACTTCTCGCTACACTCGATCAACTTCCAAATCTTAGTCCACAATAACAAACAATTATTCAAGTATGTGAAGTCAAATCAACATTTGAAGTTGTGCTGTCTCAACTGGCAACGTTTCAACGACAACTAGATACGATAGCAAAAAGCAGCAGGAATTGTGCTTCAGTCTTTTAAGTGCACACTATCATAAAAAATTACACTTGCCAAGCACTTTCGCGCGAATTTATAGTTCGATAGTGTAGATATTTGAATTTAAATGAAATATAAAAAGAAGAGCTTCACTCGTTTCAATATCAACAATCTTAAACGTGCAATTTGTTTAATGCTATTCATGACGTAAAATAGCTTAGCATGGTCAGGAAATTATATAAATTTCAATAAAAATTTTTCTGATTCGAATCCGTGAATAATTTTTCTTCTTTCTTTAAGAATTTTATATGTTGTAATGTAAATAAATAAGTGAAGAAGCAAACGTCTGAACCGCTTCCGAACTTGTAGATGACTGAAGAATTTCCAAAAGTTTCAAAACTGTTATGCAGTATTTCAACAACGTATAACACATCAACAACATTTTCCTTGCTTGCATAACGTTGTTTAGGACGACGAGAGTCAGTCAAGCACAACTTTTTAAACAGTAAGAAATTTCAAACTCGTATCATGTTTTCACGTAATCATTTCGTTCTCAAGAACAAATCCTTACGGTTTACGTATGAAGCCTCACATTTTCATTCAACATTTTGTATTGTTTTCTATTTCTTAGCTTTAATTAGGCAAACACAGAACAGCGCGCGCGGAAATTGTTTTACGTAACGCTCATTAAAAATAAAAATGACGTTAAGTTCATTTAAGATGATATTAAAACCAAAAAGGGACTAAACACACCATGCGCAGAACCTTTTGTTATCACATGTAATAAATTTTGATTCAAATCAAATGTGACAATTACATAAAAAGGAAAATATTCAAAATTAGAAGATAAATCGCAATTCTCGTTGAGATAAATATTTTCTTTTTCTCTTCCTTATTTACATACTTATGTATCTGCGTAACTTATAATAAACATCAACAGAATTGAAAGAAAAAACATTTCTCGAAAAAGCAAGAAGGTCATTTTAAGATTTTGCTGACTTTTCTTTTTCTCATCCAAGAAAATCACCATCATTAGATGTCTTGCAAATATCATTTCAATAACGAGTCTAATCGAGCATTATTGAAAGTTTGTATACAAACGACATCCTTATCTTTACATCTTGAAGTCATTTGGATGAGCAAACGCATACACATATCTTCTGTAGGTGCTCTCCCAACGTCGCTTTTTTTCCTTCTCTGACATGCTCCTTTGCTCAAGATCTACATTGTTCAACTTATTCCTTTTACAATGTAAGAAAAACAGCATGCTCGTATGCATGTAATGGAATCAGGCGGCAGTGTGCGCGCGCATGAATATCTTTCATCAAGGCAAGGCCAGGGAGAGTGAGTGAGAGAGTCAACATCTGAGAAAACCACACCGGAACTACACATTTTCTGATTTGATGGCTCATATTCAATCTTATATGTTCATGTAATAGTTTATTTGCTGAATGGCAGAAGGATGTGAAAAAGAGATGAACAAGAAGTTTACTTAATCAACTGTAGAAATATTCCAAAAAGTGTTTGAGAAGCCAAAAAACTTTTCATGGACATAACATTCGTTTGACGCACATTTTTTCTGCTTTTCCACGAACTCCCTTCTCACAAATACACACGAATAAATAAAAGGAGTTAGGGATTAGTTGAACGACAAGAAGCAGCGCAACAGGGAGAGAAAGAGCGAAGAAAAAAGGCACGCTGAACTTTGGGTGGGCGGTTGACGTCGTCAGGTGCGGCGGACTTTACTGAGAATCACCTTCGGAAGGCTCTTTTTGACACCTCAAACTTTAAAGCACAATAAGCTACATTTAATAACTGCTGAGATCGGGTTTTCATAAGTTCAATATTCTCATTCCATAAACACTTTTTTTTCTTGTTATCGAATCATTTTATTGCAAATTTATCAGTTTTTAAGCCGTTTATTGTTCCAAATATTCATGAAAATTTTATTTCGTGTTATACTCAAGCTAAATGTTTGAAATAATTCAATAAAAACCTTTTTTTCTTTCATTGCGCATAACTTTTGTGTGGATGAGAAATCAAACTTTAGCTTGATATGAAAAAGAAATAATCATGAAACCGTTTAAATTATGATGTTGTAATGCAGACATCTTTACTTTTGTAATGCTTAAAATTAAGGAATTGAAACCTTTTCAACCACAAGATGATAAAGTTAATTTCTGATTGTATCGAAATAGAACTGAGCTCATTGAGTTATATGTAAAAAAATATTAAAATTATTTTAGCAATTCCCCTCACCGTTGCAGCATCAATTTAATATACTAAGTTGTGAGTTCATTGTATTGCGTAATTATCATAACTCAAGTCTGGATCGGAATTGTAATTGTAAATCATCTCGAGAGAATGCAACAAAATCGCATCTTCAACTGTGTAGAATTATCAAAACAAGAAGAAGCGTTGTGGAAAATTGAAAAATACAATGTTGCATGATATTTACATATCTTTGTTCATCATTTCAAGGGTTCACTAAAAAACATTACAAGAAAAATAAACGGAAATCGACGAGTTTAAGACCAGATTTTTTTCTCTTCATCATAGCAAAGTCAAAAATATTGCACTTGCGATTTCACATTAAACGAGAAATGTTTCTAGCTTTTATTCTCCCACATCTCGATTACTTTCGACATTTGCGTACAAACACTGATGGCAGCAGCAGCAAAAACGTATACAACGAAAAGATTTTTCGTTTTATTTTCATTTAATCAATCAATAGAGAAAAAAAAACATTTTACCAGCCGAATCTTACACGTGGCTGATTGTGTAAAGTATAAGAGGTGGGGATGGCAAAGCGGCGGTTAAAATGCCCGAGCACATTGCGGGAACGAGAGCCGACAAAAGGAAATAAGAGAAAAGAAGAAAATGAAATAAACGGGGCGAAGAATTGTTGTGATTCAAACGTTATTAACAACTACACTTTCATCTACACATCACGTAGTTAATTTTGTGATTCATGTGGATCTAGCTGTGCAAGTTTTCGTTGTGTTTGTGCGATATTTACTTTTTTTATTGCCGACTTGAAGCAGGAGCGCGTGTATGTCAGCGAAGATGGGCTTTATTCGGTGAAGGTTGAATGGCTGGCAAGAAGGAGATGGCACATGGCCACAAAAATAACAACAGTAAGCCTTCGTTATACAACACACCAATGTACACACACACACACACACACACAAGCTTCATACTATCAGAATCATATGAATGTATGCAATTGTTGTTTTCGCCGCGGATGGCAGCTCTTTGCTCTTTCTCTATCCCTCTTTGGTATGTCATGATGATTGCACGACTTGTGCTTCAAACCATGCATTAATACACAAGAGGATGAAAGAAAAAATAACTCGATTGACTTAAATTATAATATTATCGTGAAGTCCTTGCCGGACTTTCGAATTCTTGATATCGAGACTTTCGAGTGCAATTTTACTTATGTTTTTTTATATCTTTTTATTTTCTTCATTACCTTGAAAAGCTTGCAAGTTGTGTGCTCTCAAAAAGAGTTTTTATTTCGAATCACAAAACTTCAATGTCAATTTTATGCTTGCTTGAAAATTTCATCAGACAAACATCTCCGGTGATTCATCATAATTCTCTTCTCTCCTTCTCTCTCCCTCACAATCTCTCTCTTCTCTAACGCTTCAAATGATGTAAAGTCTTTTATTACAAGTCATATGATAATGATTGCAATGAACTTGCATGGAAAGTTACAATCGAAATAGCTCTTATCATATTTCTTTGCCATAAGTTTAAATAAAAGAAATTATTGATGCAAATGTAAGTATTTACATCCGGAATTGTTAAAAAATTTACTAGAAGAACAGAGAGAGAGAGAGAGATAAGAGGGAAGCACCCTTTTCTACAGCTAATCACATGAAAAAAACAACAGAAAATCAAAACCGTATACACATAATCACAGTGATTTTAGTGATTCACACCCTGAATGTTTTAATTAATAATCTTCGTCCCATACATATGAACGAAAAATATATAAGAGAAGACGAGAGAAAAATAAAAAAATTAAAATTTTTTGTTATGACGCTCGACACTATCACCCATTCATTCATCAGTCATACGACGGAGGGAATATGAAGAGAATATTTGAAAGAAAAATTCAACTTCAAAACATGCACACGCCTAGACGCAGCTATAATGATTAAACATAGATTATAAAAAAGTTGTTTTTCATATCGGAAAAGTCCACAAAATGTATTCGTAGCAAAGCAAGAAAATAACGCCAGACACTTCACGGCACTTTCATTTGTGTTTTCATGTATTAAAACAACAGCTCGATTGCATAGCAAATCAACATGTTCGTACAATCAACATACAACAGCGCTTTTAGTTTTGCGAGTAAGATTGAATAAAGAACCCGTGGTGACTGAGAAAAAGGGAGAAAAAGATTGTGAGAGTGTAAAGTGATGGCACGATTTTCCATGCACACAATCAAATGTCGCAACGTAGTTTTTTTTATATTTTTCAATCCATTTTTATTTCTTTCTTTTGGTCAAAACTTGCTCGAATATTGCAGATAATAACGGTTTTGACTCCCGAAAAACTTCTTTTTTTATTATCTTCGAGAAAGCTTTAAATGTTTATTTGAGCGAATAAAAAAAAACATCTTCGTGGCTTACCTGTTGAAAGCTGTGGGCTCTCCAACACGACTGGTCGGTACAGCTGACCCATCTCCTGCTCCTCAAGAAATTGTGCTGCTCGAAGTAAAGCATCAACTCCGCACGATAATGACGTCATAGTCGTTGATTCGTTTCTTCTTCTCAAACTTCTTTTTTTTTGTGTTATTCACCACAAACGACTCGAGAATTTTTTCTTCCTTCTCAACTTTCGTGAGAACAGAAAATTAGCTCGACGTTTGTTATCCAACTGAGGCGAACAAAAAGGGCACAACGAAAGAAAAGAGAGTCGTTAAAGTTTAACTTTGAATCTTGGAGCTTCTTTTTTATTTCGGGGGTTCGAGACCCGTTTTCGAAAAACTTTTTCACGTCTTCACGTCACAACTATCAAAATTTCCAGCCGAAAAACTTTTTTTTTCCCTTGACGGAAAAGAAATGAATGAAAATAAGTTTTTCCGTTTAAACACGAAGTCACTAAACACAACTTATTTTTTCAAACGTTATTTTCTTTCCATTCGTTACACAAAGCATTTACTAACACAACTGAGCGTCCCATATATTTTTCTTTGTTGTTTTTTTTCGCTTGTTTCGATTAAAAAAATTTGTCAGCCATTTTTCTGATACTCCGAAAAATCACTATCTTACACAATTAATTATAAGTTTTCACTTTATCCCGATACGGCTGCTTCCTATTTACATAAAATAAGTCCATAACACTGAACTAACTTTTACAAAACTTGACGCAATTGGCCTCCATACAAACGAAGAAAAATTCCAACTGAAATTTGTCTCGGCTGCTCTCCTTGCGATCCGTACGTTGAATGATGTTGTTTCGTTATTTTATTTCCCCAACCGAAGCACGGGTTCGCAAAACCGTTGACTGTATGGAATCATGAAAGCAATGAGAAGCTATACTAGAATAAGAGAGTTGCTTGGTGTGATAAGTTCCCCTTACGACCTTGAATTGCGCTCTCTTAAACGCACACATTCGAAAGCAATGAGAAAAATATTTTCTTGGGATTTTAAGTAGATAACTTACTAGTTAGTTTAATTTTCGAAATTGTTCACCCATGAGAATTTCTCTTCTTTTCATTCTCTTTTAAAAGAATAAAACCAAGGGGCAGATCATCGGAAAAAATTGGAGGGCAAAAGCACTATTGCTGCATTGAAGCACTAGACAAATTCCAAGAAAAAGTAAACAAATTCTTGGAAAAAGGCCATTTTTCTTGAAAAGCACTAGTGATTTTCGAAGCATCACTTGGAGGCAGCGGGCAGAAGCACTACCATGATCTGCCCCTTGAATAAAACGAAAGATGAAGAAGTTTTTACTTGATTATTAAAATATGTTTCGGAAATAAGTTCTTCCATAAAATTTATATTTTAATATTATGCATGTTGATTGAATTACTTAACGAACAATTAGAGTGATTTCCGCGTGAAACCAACTATTCAACGACAAAAAATGACTCTAACATCATCAAGCTAAAAATATTCCACGAAGGGTGTTCGTATTTTGTACAACTGATTCATCTAAATAATTTTACTATATTTTTTTTCACCTCTCAACTGAGAGCGTGACTTCAAGCATGGCTTTCCCCACCACGTTGTTGACGTCTCTCAGAATTCACAATCACACGTGTTTTTGCCGCAAGAAGAGAGCATATCGTGAGAGCTACATGCAGGCACATGACACCGCATACTTCCAAATTTGTTTTGTTGACGCTACAAGTCAGAAGTATTAGAGTTCGTGCATACATATAAGAGTGGAAAACAGCCGATAATCAAATAATAAAATTCCTTAAACTTTAAGCTCAACTCTCATTTAGTTCCAATTATATCTTGCGACTTTAACGTTGTCTTCACGCAGTAAGAAATCCGTAAAGTTGAATTTCGCTTAAATATTATCTCGAAATTTATTCAATTTTACGTAGAAAAGTTTTTTTCCGTTCGTTGGGATCTTTGATAGTGTAAGTAAGCTGGGTAAAACATGTGATATCGGCAACACAAAATAATTTTTCTTTACATTACTATCTTACATTACGCAAAACAAGTTTTTATTTTCTTTTTGAGAAAAACCTGATGCTCTTTTTCAGTTGTGTTGGTGTCTTTGGATATTTGGTAAACAAAGAATTCTAACGAATGCTCACAGCTCAAATTCTCAACACGTGACTTTGTTTGTTTTTCAGAATAATCAACTCTTGATTAATTCAAATACATTTATTTCAATTGATATGAATCATTGATTTTTAATTTGATGAGTTAAGCTAAAACCAATTTGTTAACGATGCAATTTTCACTTTTGAAATGAATAAACTTGCGAGTTTTAAATACTTCTATTTTGTAACTTTCCATCGAATACCACTAAGCAACGTTGCTTATTTACCATGCAAGTATTTATGATTCACTGAAACCAGGACAAAAAAAACATGGTTGGATTATTCTTGTTTCTTGAAGAAGATAAAGTGATTTCTCTTTGCTCAAAGTCCCTTGATAATTTATTTATTTCTCATTGAAAGTTTATTTTTGTCTAAAAGTATAGAAGTAGATAAATTGTCGATGAAGTATCAGCATTGAATAAAATTTTAATTGAAGTTCATTCTTTTAAGCTTGACACGTTTTTAAGCATACATTGTTGTTAGCTTAGTAATTTGCTTTTAGCTGATTCCTAAATGTTCTCGATATCTGATCGTGTGACTGTCATCGATGGTGGTTTTTCAACCCAGTTAATGCTAAATGTTGGCGTTCAAATCGATGGTGATCCACTTTGGAGTGCAAGATTTAACTCAGTCCAGCCTGATGCTGTCGTAAAATCTCATCTTGATTTCTTGGAAAATGGAGCTGAAATAATTTTAACGAACACTTATCAGGCAAGCGTTGAAGGCTATACAAAGCATTTGAATATAAATCGGGAAGAAAGTATTGATCTCATTAAGAAGACAGTTAAATTAGCACACAACGCGCGTGACAATTTTATGCAAATAAATTCAAATACTGAATTGCCTTTGATATTTGCATCGATTGGACCGTATGGAGCTCATCTTCATGATGGTTCGGAATATACTGGAAGCTATGCCGACACAGTTTCAGTGGAAACAATCAAAAATTGGCATAAAGTAAGAATAAATGCTTGCATTGAGGCTGGTGTTGATGGTCTTGCCATTGAAACGATTCCATGTCAGGTGAGAAGAGAATAATTTGAAAATAATTTTTTATTAATTTTAAGAATTTTTTTTTAGATGGAAGCAGAAGCTGTTGTTGATATGATTCTTGATGAGCATCCTGATATGAAATTTTGGGTTTCTTTTCAATGCAAGGTAAGAAAGCAATGAACATTTAAGCATTTAATTAAATTAAATATTTTCTAGGATGGAAATTCTTTAGCTCATGGTGAGAAATTTGCCGATGCCGTTGATTCAATTTTCACACGTGTTGCTGCTCGAAATAAAAAGAATCTGGTTGCTGTTGGTATCAATTGCATAAACTCTGAATTCGTTTCACAATTGTTACGTTCGATTAAAGTTGAAGTTCCTTTAGTTGTTTATCCGAACAGTGGTGTGATGCAATTTCTTTAGAAATCTTTAAAGTTTTTATAAGAAAATTTATTCTTTTAGGCGAAACTTACAATGTCGAAACAGGATGGCAAGGAAAGAATAGTTACACACCTCTTGAAGACTTCGTACACGAATGGATTGAATTAGGAGCAAGATTTATTGGAGGCTGTTGTCGAATTGACGCCTCCGACATTAAGAAAATCAAGGAAAAAGTTCAAGAACTGAAAAAGTAAAAAGTGAAAAGATATTTTTGGGAACGCAATAAAATTTGAGTAAATTACACGGTGAAGATGTTCACAAAACACAAAAGTATAAAAATATCCACCAATTCAAGATTCTTTTAAAGAATTTATATGAGTGATTTTATTATTCAATGATTCATGTAATTGTTTCTTCAACATTCATTCATATTATTAATGTACGTTCATTTCTTAACATAACTTTCTTTTTTTCTTTTTCACGATAAATAAAATGATAAAATAGTGCAAATCATTGACCAGGAAAATGACTTTTGATTTCAGTATTCGATATTTTTTCAGTAACTTTGGTCAATTGATGTAAGGAATGAATTTTTTCTTAAGTTTTCTCAATCATTGGACATGATAGAATTAGAAAAAACGTCTAACTATCATTTTATTTCAGTTTAGTCACTGATATAGAATGCTATACGAACAGATAAGTCAGTGCAAGTAAAACGTAGCAAAAAGATGATTATTAAAGCTTTTGTTGTAGACTGATTGAGAAATATGCTTTAAAGCAATGTTTGTTCCACCATAATTTTATCATACCCGCTTGGAATTTGATAGTTGAAGTTATCAACAATAAGATCCAAAATGGCTCCATCATCAACAACAAGAAGAGGATAGATCTCGTTATTGTATTCACCTCTCGTTGAAGTTGAATTGAGCTTGATGAGCGTTGGAATGTTGAGATTTTTACCATTGAGATAAAAGTTCAACTCGATGTGATCATAAGTTATTCCAATAATGTCACCTTCCTGCGGAAGTGCTGACCGTTGTGATGCATTTGATGATGATGGCAGGAGGTTTGTGATGTCTTCTTTATTATTCAGCGGTAGCAGCTGTTCAGTGTCATCATTTGACGTCTTATTCCCATTTGAACTGTACATTTCATTCAAGTCGTACAAAACGTGACCATCGTTCATCACATAATTCTCAGCGTTTAGGCACCAACTAAACTTGTCCAAACCACCTCTTGTCTTATTCAAATCCGTATTCAATGTGCAAAGTCCTAAACTCCAATGACCACTTTGCTGGATTTTTACTTCGAAGTAACTTTTAGACTGAAGCAGCGCTTGATTCAAAACTGCACCACCCGAACCACATACACGTTTGCCGTTTTTCAAAATAACTACTTCTTGGCCTAAAATAATTAAGTATGTACAATTAACATCATAATAATCACATATTGCGCTGAATCTTACCAATATGTCCTGAATCAAGTGAAATAAGGCTTTCTGGAGGATTTAAAGCGAAATTATTCTTTGAAGAGCGCCTTAGGCAACAACAATCTCTTAACAGATTACTAGAAAACATGCTTTTAACTAACTAATCTCCTTTTCAAAAAATAATTTCTCTCGAATGAAAACCAAAAATAATTTAAAGTTAAACAAGAATTGTAAAATGTTTCTATGAAATGTTGGTTAACTATGAGAAGTTAAATGACGGGCGGACATATTTGTCATAAATCGATTTAGTTTTGAGTGGTCATGTCATTAATCAACAAACTTTTTTTTAAATTTTAATGCAACTTTATTTAGAAAAAGCTTATAAGCTTACAAAACAAGAATGTGTCAATAGATGAAATGATATTAAGATTCTCAAATAAAGATTACAGATGAGGCAGCTCCACATGGGAAGCTTCACATTATGTTTAATTTAAGCAATTTTAATTTATTACATCATTTTGTCTCAACAGATCATTCCCAATTTTTCTATATAGAGAAAATTTCAGAAAATTGAACCGTTAACCAGAAAAGTGTTAACAACTGTGTTCGTAATTTACCTCATGGGTTACCATATCATTTGAAGATGTTTAACTCAGAAAAATAAAAAGTAAAAACAGATATTAGAAATTTCTGAATGCTCCTCCTTCTTTCTCGTATTAGATATGCAAAAACAGTATAAATAATATCAATTTTCTTCATTGTATCAATTCTATAGTTGATAAAGTTGTGATCAGTTCAAGAAGTAAAATGAAGTTATCGAAAATATTTTTCATCGTCACTCTCATTATTGGTAATTTATTGAATTATTTCATTAAAAGTCTTCTTTCTGATTTTATTAAGAATCATTTTTAAACTAGCTTTGAGCGTCCATGCGAAATGTCAGTCACCAGGTGAGTAAACCTTTCTGAAACTTTTTGAGATAATAATAATAATACCTAATTGTATTGTTCGAAAATAAATTGGAAATTAATTATAATACTTTTTCTTTGTCGTTAATTCTATTGGAATTAGATCCAACATATTTGATTTGCATTCCTATGGAAAACTGTGACTGTTACTACTATTGTGTTGGTAATGGTTACCAAAGTGGAAAGTGTCTAGGCGATCACTGTGTGTGTGATATGGCATATGAGCCCTGCTTGTTTGAAATGAAATAAATTCAATGAAAATTTCTAAGCATCTAGGTAATAAAAATTTAAACAGGGTTTAATTTATTATAATAGTCAAAGATTTGCTGTACAAAGAGTTCAGCAATCTAAATGAAACTTAGAGTTTTCAAAGATCGGTTCAAGATCGCTGTTTTTGTTCTTCAAGGTTTTCATCTTTCCATTCATTATGACAGAAGCTTAATGATAAAACTAATTTCAAATCCGTAATTTTCTTAGTTCTCAGAGAAAATGGGCGTTTTTTACTGCAAATATGATTTATTTTTTTAATCATTGCATCGGAAATACTGAAAATTAATATCTTGAAAGTCATGATAACTTCTGAAATGATGATAATTTGTTCATGACTGTGTATTTGTTTGGAAATGAATGGCATAAAATATCAATTTGCTTCATTGTCATCCTTTTTATAGTTGATAAAGTTGTGATCATTTCAAGAAGTAAAAAGAAGTTCTTATAGAATTTTTTTTCTTAATTTATTGAAATGTTTCATTAAAAATTTTCCTTCTGATTTTATTAAGAGATTTATCATCTCTGAAATAGCTTTGAGCATCCATGTCAAATGTAACCCCAAACCTGGTGAGCTTGTCTCAAAATATTTTAGATAACAAAATGTTCTTGTACGTGGCAAATTGTTTCATCTTTTCTTTATTATGACAGATGTTTTTATGTTTAGAGTTAAAAAACAATAAGCAGACATCATCGGTACACCATTTTATTTCAAGGACATTTTGCCAAACTAAACATTTTAAGTCGAATTAGTAGAAAGATAAAATCGTTTTGAATGATGACAAATGCCACCAATTAATATTGAAATGAACGAAAAATGATAGTATAGATGTCGATATACAAAGACAAGTAGTAGGTACTTGATGTTTCCTTACCTTTTGCTACTCATCAGATTTGTTTTGGGTCAATTTGTATGGCAGGTACCTGGAATATTGATCGTACAGTCCCCATTTCCTCAAAATATTTGTTTCCCGTTAAAAAGGTTTTTTTTTCAAAATATTTTGAGAAATAAGGAAATTAAAGCAATTTTAAAAAGTTACATACATCCAAAGTCGAAAAGTGACAACAAAAATATGAAGTGCACGTTAACGTTATCACACTTTCAGTTAAAAAACCCAAGAGAATAAATCAACATGAGTTAATTAGTGGGAAATCGGGGTCATAATAAAAAAGAAACTTCTGAGAAATTGAATCTTGATTTAATCTTGGTTTTCTTTATTAGAACATTTTTCATTAACCTTTGTAATATAAAATATAAAATGAGTAAAATATTAAACTTTTGAATTATTAAAATAATAATTCCTTGCATAAAGCTTTAGCATCAGAACGAATTTTGTAGACAGTTTCNTTATTCAAATCCGTATTCAATGTGCAAAGTCCTAAACTCCAATGACCACTTTGCTGGATTTTTACTTCGAAGTAACTTTTAGACTGAAGCAGCGCTTGATTCAAAACTGCACCACCCGAACCACATACACGTTTGCCGTTTTTCAAAATAACTACTTCTTGGCCTAAAATAATTAAGTATGTACAATTAACATTATAATAATCACATATTGCGCTGAATCTTACCAATATGTCCTGAATCAAGTGAAATAAGGCTTTCTGGAGGATTTAAAGCGAAATTATTCTTTGATGAGCGCCTTAGGCAACAACAATCTCTTAACAGATTACTAGAAAACATGCTTTTAACTAACTAATCTCCTTTTCAAAAAATAATTTCTCTCGAATGAAAACCAAAAATAATATAAAGTTGAATAAGAATTATAAAATGTTTCTATGAAATGTTGGTTAACTATGAGAAGTTAAGTGACGGGCGGACAAATTTGTCATAAATCGATTTAGTTTTGAGTGGTCATGTTATTAATCAACAAACTTTTTTTTAAATTTTAATGCAACTTTATTTAGAAAAGCTTATAAGCTTACAAAACAAGAATGTGTCAATACTTGAAATGATATTTAGATTCCCAAATAAAAATTACAGATGAGGCAGCTGCACATGGGAAGCTTTGAATTATGTTTAATTTAAGCAATTTTAATTTATTACATCATTTTGTCTCAACAGATCATTCTCAATTTTTCTTAATAGAGAAGATTTCAGAAAATTGAACCGTTAAGCAGAAAAGTGTTAACAACTACCTAGGTAGGTGTTCGTAGTTTACCTCTTGGGTTACCATATCATTTGAATATGTTTAACTCAAAAAAATTAAAGAGTAAAAACCTAGATATTAGAAATGTCTGAATGCTCCTCCTTCTTCTCTTCATACTCGTCGTATTCGTATTAGATATGCAAAAACAGTATAAATTTAATATCAATTTTCTTCATTGTTATCAATTCTATAGTTGATAAAGTTGTGATCAGTTCAAGAAGTAAAATGAAGTTCTTATCGAAAATATTTTTCATTGTCGCACTTATTATTGGTAATTTATTGAGTTTTTTCATTAAAAATTTTCTTTCCGATTTTATTAACAATCATTTTTGAAATAGCTTTGAGCGTCCATGTCAAATGTCAAATGACACCAGGTGAGAAGATTTTTCTCAAACTTTTCAAAATAATAATAATAATTTTATTGTTCGAAACTAAATTGGAAATGATTTTTAATACTTTTTCTTTTGTCGTTAATTCTTTTGGAATCAGATCCACCATATGGCATTTGCATTTGGAATTGGGAAAGCTCTGATTGTTACTTCTATTGTGTTGATATTGGTTATCCAGGTGGAGAGTGTGTTGGCGATAACTGTTTATGCGATACACTTTGAACCAAGATCGTTTAGATCCTCTCATTTTTCTAATTTAAAAAGAGATAAAAATGATTGAAAATATTTAAGAATACAATGTTCAAAAAAATTAAGTTTGTTTTTTACAAGGTTTCCATCTTTCCATTCATCATGACCGACCCTTAATCATAAAACTTAGTTCGGAGTC